GTTTCACCTGAGCTTGGCAAATGAAATCTGCCTTCTACTTAAGAAAGAACTCTCAGATCCATAAAAGATTGTTGTCCATCATTAGAAAATTCAGAATTAACTTCACTTAGCATTTGTTTGTTGGGGATTGTTAAGTGAAGTTAGGCAATCACAAAAAAACAAGTGCTGAATGTTTTCTCTGATATAAGGAGACGGAATCATAATGGGATTGGGGATGGCAGAGCATAGGAGAATTGGATGAATTTAGATAGGACAGAGGGGTGGGAGGGGAAGGAAGGGGCCATGGGAGTAGAAAAGATGGTGGAATGAGATGGACTTAAGTATATGTATGAAGACATGAATGGTGCACCTATATTTTGTATACAACCAGAGATATGAAAAATTGTGCTCTATATATGTAATATGAATTACAATGCATTTTACTGTCATATATAACAAATTAGAATGAAAAAAATTATTAAAAATTCAGAATTAAACTATTGGCATTAACACCTTTATTTCGAAGGCTTAGAAATTGAGGAGGAAAGTTATATCATAGGTAATGTTTAGGGAAAACATAAAGAGATTTTTGAGACATACAAAAACTTATATCTGAAAGATATATGTGAAGAATGAGCAGAATGTTAGAGGATTTTAAATCTAAAACTATTCATCTGATGTATATTAATATTATCAAAACATTGACGATACTAAAGAAGAAGGGCTCTCAGTCTATATGTATCTGTTTTGTGATAAGATACTAATAAGTTCAGGTATATTTGTACGTAACATTTACTGTAAATTAGCATAATGTCCATCTAGAATTAAAAAGAAGAAAGCTATATTTGAAGTTTCAATTCAAATTTTAGTAAAGTTAGAAATTTTAATCAATGAGCAAGTACAAAAGAAAATATTTTAAGAAATGTTCCCACAAATTTTAGAAAAGTGATGGCATAGATTACTCTTTAAATGATCCATGAGGATGAATACAAAAACGCATTATTAACAAGGGAAGAAATTCTAATGTGTTTAGTTTCTATACATATTACTCTAGTGCTTCATCCTCCACTTTAGAGTACCAAAAAGAAATTATTTTATACAAGAATGTCAAACATTGGAAATCTTAGGCAATGCCCAACAAGAAGAATATGTCACAAAAGAAATATTTTATGGCCTGAAGCAAATTCCCTGAATTTCCTGCCTCTTCTCAAATGACCTTTTTAGACCTTCTTCTAAAATGTTGGTGGCCTGAAAGCATTCATAATAAAAGAAAGGTGGTGGGTTTCTTTAAAATTACCTTATGAAAACAAATGAAGGGAAAACAATAATAATATTTCCTAGAGGAAATATTAAGATATGGATTAAGAAAAAAATGTACAATTGTAGTAAAGAAAGTGGTGGAGGGGGAGAAAACGTTTACACTTATACTTGGTTTCTTTTCATGTATCTGGTTCTCAATAAATATTTACTAATTAATTACATCACATTGGAATACTTAATCCAAGATTGAAATGCATTAATATAAATTAGGTATTCAAAAGTTAGTCCCAAGGATACATACTTAAGTTTGCTACAATTAGAAAAAGTTAATATTATAGACTTTATTATACTTTTTAAATTTTTGGTAAATTAAAAATGCAATAAATTTTACAATTACAAAGATGTATATACTAAGTTACAGGAGCAGTATGAAGCATGCTCCAAAATGTGTTGAAATTCAGTAATTTGAGGAAAACCCACCGAAATATGCATGATAGAGGGACTGTAAATTAGCATCATTGGACAAATATATGGGGGATTAAACACAGAGATGCAGCACCAAGAAACACTGAGTCCATGTATGTAATTCAAATGTCAATTATTACTGCCCATTCCACTACATATAGACTGAGGGAAAAGATCAGTGATCTTAAAATCCAGAAGCTTAAGGGAACTTGAGATGTGTGGAAAAGTGAAAAGACATAAAGATCATTTTAAAGACATACTATGTAACTGCATCAGAGTTTTTCTGGGCACACATCTTTGACAAACTTCTTATTTAAATAGAAATTCATAATTGTAAGAACATTTTTACTTACACTTGGGATAACTGCAACACTTCTGTGTCTGTTACTTCTGGATCCACTAAATCATTTTTCATATTTATATTTTGAAGGTGCTTTAATTAAACTCTCCTAAGGCTTAAACCCCTAATAAAGTAGTCCCTATTTCAAAAATGGAAGAATTTACTTAGCAGTTAGGATTTTCAAACTCTAATGCTTGAAAAGCCACTGGCTCTTCAGCTGGTGGTTACTTAAGTTTTCTGTCTAATAGAATATGAGTCAAAAGCTATTTAATATTAAGAAGAACATAAAATGTTAAAAAGTTACTGAGGATTAAGATTTCAGACCACAGTGATTCTCAGCATACAAATGAATTTCAGTATCTATTTTTAGTATCAATGTTTTCTTAAGAATTATTGCCTTTTGAATGATTTAGTTGCTGGGAAGCAAATTACATATGAGAAGTCCAAGCCTAAAATGACATGAACATATAATTAATTTCTCTACAAATGTCTCTAAATAAAGTTACTTGTTTAATACAGATATGAGTAGTAAGAAAGTTACAGGGTTATTATGAGGGACATGATAAATGTAGTCATGAAAGAAAACAATTTTTAATTTAGTAGACTCTATCAATCTAAAAAGCCCATGAATATTTACTATTAATTCAGTATGCTGGAAAGTAGATAAAAGAGAGTGAGTTCATGCAAGAAAGAGCATCATAAAACAAAACAATATAATAGTATCAAAATTTATTTAAATTTCCATGATTGCATATCTACATTTAAAATCAAAGGGAGCATCACATTTCTAGGGAGAATGATTAAAATTTATTTTCCTTTATAAAAGATGTGTTAAAATATCGAGAAACCTTAGGATACAGCTAAGGTCTTTGTTCTGACAGCAAAACCATTTAGAAAACCTTGATGTGATCTGAAGTACCATTAGTAAGTAAGTTTTTGTGTACATTCACGGTCACAAAGCTCAAGACATTTTGTAGGAATGTATCTTGCAAAGGTCAGATAATGCCACCTTTTGCCTTGCTATTATTCCTTAAAGAATGGGCAAAGTACCCATCTATATTTATACAACTGAAAACATTAATTAACATTGAAAAAGAGGTGGAGAGGCTTGTACATTCACAATTCAAAACATATAATTTGAAAACACTTGTATCTTTTTGCATAAACTTCTAAAATGGTTGTTTAAAAAATTTCAATTTCCTTGTGAAATTACTTCATTAAACACGGATGAAAGTACACATTAAAAGGGCATAGGCTACGAAAATGGGTTAGGTTTATACAAACAAAACACCGGTAGGGCTGGGCATGATAGTATAACCCTGTAATCCCAGTAGCTCAGGAGGTTGAGGCAGGAGGACTGAAAGTTCAAAGCGAGCCTCAGCAATATAGTGAGACCCTAACCAACTTAGCAAGACCCTGTCTCAAAATAAAAAAAAAAAATTTAAAAAAGGACTGAACAAGTGGCTCAGTGTTTAAGCACCCCTGGATTCAATCCCTGGTACCCTCTACTAAAAAAAAAAAAAAAAAGTATCAGTAGGAAACTTGGAGCTGTTTGTTAACTATAATTTTGGAATAATAACTGGTACATTGACTGATGAGATCACTTATATGCCATTATAGATTGGATTCAATGACCATATATCTTTCATCCAAGAAAGACTTCCAATAATCTTTTCTATGTTGCTGTTGTTCTGACACAGAAAGAAAAAAAAATGAAAGTGACTATAAGGTAATAGGAAAGACAAAGAGTATCAGACCTTTAGGAATTCAGAGATAAAAATTAGGACAAACAAATCTCTTTCAAAAATATAGTGTGAATTAAATTGTAACTTACCTCTTTTCTTTTTTAAGAGAAAAGCATCAGGTCTTCATTCATTCCTCTTTTTGTTGAAATGCTCAATTTTTTATTAATATTATACATTATACATTTTAAAATATTTAGTATCATTTCACATACACCTCATCTGTGATTAAATCTAGTTCATATACTCAACAGAAAAAATAAAGCCACAAAATCATAAATTACCTTTCTCAATATGCATCCTTTTCGACTCATGTCCCATGTCATGACCTGCTAA